CCTGTAGCCCCCGGCAAGGGTCCCCGAAATACTTTGGGTAAATTTTTTCACTCACAAATTTTTTCCGGGGGGCGTCGTTAGGGTACTCTTCGCTATTTCCAACTGCCAAGGGATTGTTTTACGTGCGCAACAATGCCCACTGCGTCAGATCTCACTACCCAGAGACCAGGGGGAAATGACTATAAGTCCAATCCACGTGAAAAAATCCCAGATTAATCACCTGGACCTCTAGCACTTAGGGCACGACCCGCGTGCCCTGTGAGACCAGGCAAGACCCCCTGAGATGATGTTCATGCTGATGTAACCACGCTAAGACAGGAGAGTGTGACTATACACCTTAAGGGTTAGTGGCATAGAGGTTGGATGCGGCTCACTACAGAAGCACACGGAAGAAGTATGACTGTGGATAGCTAAGGTTTTGCCAACATCCATATGAGCCAGCATGCAGAAATGAAATATTGAGGCGGTAACTGCTTCGTTCCAAATGATGGAAACCATTTTGTTTTCTTCGTATGGAACGGGTCGCGTTAGTCCAGAATTTGCAGGTGGAGAGATGTTTTCTTCGTATGGAACGGGTCGCGTTAGTCCAGAATTCGCAGGTGGAGAGATGTTTTCTTCGTATGGAACGGGTCGCGTTAGTCCAGAATTCGCAGGTGGAGAAAGTTACATGGATATTTTGCCCGGGCAATATAAGTATGTGGGGGAATGAGCGGGCAGATAGATCGGCTGGATTTGTCCCACTTGGTGGTGTGCTGCAACTGCACAAGGCAGAGGTGATCTCTCCGCCTGCAAGACAAGGTAACTGGTAAAATGGATGATACTGAAAAACCGCTACCTGGGGAGAATGATGCAGCGGAGAATGTCTGCCGGTTCGAGATACCATTCGAGACCGGGGGTGGTTGGAGGGGGGTAAGACAAGTAGTTAACCAGGTGACAACGAGTACCATTAGTGTGGAGACTCTTCGCTGGCTGCTGAGAAGGGGTACGGTGCTAATATGGGTTAGTCATTAATGCTGTGATGTCGAATCTTTATCCACATTAACCGAAATGTTAACACAGGCTAGCGTGTGCTCAGAATGCCTAAGTAAGTAAAGGTCAAGGTCTCTTTTCCACGCCTTGAGGCGTATCGGGAATATAGGGCTAGACCTATATTTGTTTAGACCATTCGACGCTTGGTGGGTGGTGTGTTTAGCATCACGCCGGCTGCCTTGACTTCCCAGGACGTACCTGGTACCTACTCAAGGCTCGGTCGACCTGGGAGCCAAGGTCATTATTGAAAAAAGTCAGGACGCGAACTCACGACCTTCCGGTCCGAAGGCGGCCGTTTAGCCGCCAACGCCACGGCGACTTCCTCAGATTTTAAGAAGCCCGATCGTCCAAGTCTGAGTCGACGAGAGAGAGAGAGAGAGAGAGAGAGAGAGAGAGAGAGAGAGAGAGAGAGAGAGAGAGAGAGAGAGAGTTGGGGAGAGAGAGAGAGAAGCAGGCAGACAGAGAGACATAATGAGAGGTGAGATGCAGACCAGCAGACAGACAGACAAACAGGAAAAAACTCATACTTACATTGGGTTTGAACAATGAGTGATGTTTTTTGGTGCTTCGGTGCTCAAACTTCCTTTCTGCTGCCGTCTGTCGGTATAAAGAAGACAACATTGATTTAACCCAGTGGTCGCCAGCTTAGGGGGTCTGCGCCCCCGCCCCCTTCCCCTAGCCAGAGGATGCGAGGCAATTTTAAAAAGAAAAAAGTGGGGGGGGGGGGCGAGGGGGGGGGGCGTCAAGCAGTTGAGTGCAAAGTAAAATATTAAGACTAACATCTGATATCTTGTAATGTGTAATACAGAGAGTAACATATCAAAACAATACTTTGTCCCCATATATAGTATTTTGGGACATCCTGTTTGGCACTAGTCTGTGGGACATCCTGTTTGGCACTAATTTTTGGAACATCCTGTTTGGCACTAATTTGTGGGACATCCTGTTTGGCACTAGTCTGTGGGACATCCTGTTTGGCACTAGTCTGTGGGACATCCTGTTTGGCACTAATCTGTAGGACTTCCTGTTGGCACTAATTTGTGGGACATCCTGTTTGGCTCTAGTCTGTGGGACATCCTGTTGGCACTAGTCTGTGGGACATCCTGTTGGTACTAGTCTGTGGGACATCCTTTTTGGCACTAGTCTTTGCGACATCCTGTTTGGCACTAATTTGTGGGACATCCTGTTGGCACTAATCTGTGGGTCATCCTGTTGGCACTAATCTGTGGGTCATCCTGTTGGCACCAGTCTGTGAGACATCCTGTTTGGCACCAGTCTGTGGGACATCCTGTTTGGCACTAGTCTGTGGGACATCCTGTTGGCACTAGTCTGTGGGACATCCTGTTGGCACTAATCTGTAGGACATCCTGTTGGCACTAATTTGTGGGACATCCTGTTGGCACTAGTCTGTGGGACATCCTGTTGGCACTAGTCTGTGGGACATCCTGTTTGGCACTAATCTGTGGGACTTCCTGTTGGCACTAATTTGTGGGACATCCTGTTTGGCTCTAGTCTGTGGGAAATCCTGTTGGCACTAGTCTGTGGGACATCCTGTTGGCACTAGTCTGCGGGACATCCTGTTTGGCACTAGTCTGTCGGACATCCTGTTGGCACTAGTCTGTGAAACATCCTGTTGGCACTAGTCTGTGGGACATCCTGTTGGCACTAGTCTGCGGGACATCCTGTTTGGCACTAGTCGGTCGGACATCCTGTTGGCACTAGTCTGTGGGACATCCTGTTGGCACTAGTCTGTGGGGCATCATGTTTGGCACTAGACTGTGGGACATCCTGTTTGGCACTAGTCTGTGGACATCCTGTTTGGCACTAATCTGTGGAACATCCTGTTGGCACTAATCTGTGGGACATCCTGTTGGCACCAGTCCGTGGGACATCCTGTTTGGCACCAGTCTGTGGGACATCCTGTTTGGCACTAGTCTGTGGGACATCCTGTTGGCACTAGTCTGTGGGACATCCTGTTGGCACTAATCTGTGGGACATCCTGTTGGCACTAGTCTGTGGGACATCCTGTTTGGCACTAGTCTGTGGGACATCCTGTTTGGCACTAGTCTGAAGGAGCCTAATCCTAGTTTTAAAACTTAGTGATCTTTTATTCATTCGTTGCCCTATTTGTTTTTTACCCGGTGTGTCTCCCAAATGCCCAGCCTGGCCGCCCGACTACTCTAATGACGTCGGTAATCCAGACTTGTTTTTAAAATTGACTTTGGCTCCCAGGTCGATCCAGCCTTGAGTGGGTACCAGCTGCAAGTCCTGGGAAGTAAATGCAGCCGGCATGATGTTGACCACATCACCCACCAAGTGCCGATGGATCTATGAAATATAGGTCTAGCCCTATATGCCCATACACCTAAAGGCTTGAAAAGAGGTCCTTTACTTTACTTTGTTGCTTACTTATCTCAGGCTTTTATATATTCTTATTTGTTGTGGCGTATTTAAACTCAATAAAATAATCAGCTTTCTTCTTCTTCTTCTTCTTCTTCTTCTTCTTCTTCTTCTTCTTCTTCTTCTTCTTCTTCTTCTTCTTCTTCTTCTTCTTCTTCTTCTTCTTCTTCTTTTTCTTCTTCTTCCTCTTAAAGTCCATTCTGTGTGGCGTTGGTAGTCATGTCTATTCATAACCTACTGTCTCGTGTACGTTTAATCAACTCTGACACAGATGATCCTCCATACCATGATGTCAAACTGTCCAGCATCTGTTCTCTCGGTCTCCCTCTGCCTCTCTTCCCCTCCAGCTTTCCTGCTGTCACGATGTACTCTAGTAGGTTGTTTTTTTCCTTCTCATCACATAACCAAAGAATGTAGATTGTCTTTTTCTGATGTAGGAAATCAGATTCTTTCAAGACAAGACGTGTTCATTATTCTTTTTATCTGTCCGGGGTATTCTCACCATTCGTCTATAAAACCACCTCTCAGCAGCTTCCATATAATCTTTCACTTCGATTTCCACCTTTTATTTAACTAATATATTTGAAAGTTTTCTTAAAGCGGTAGGGGTGTTGGGGGTATATATAACGCAGAGCCCCATTAGTGTCTAAATCGGGCCCTGGTGACAAGCCATCCTTACCTTCCTCATAGCCATCTCCTCCCTCCTGGCCTCGGCCTCCTCATCTCGTAAAATACCCTGCAGCTTGAGTTTGAGTATTCTCTGAGATTCAGCGTCAGCGAGTTTTCTTTCCCTTTCATCTTGTTTCCTCTGTGGGACATTTAACATATATGCAATAAAAACGTTACTTAAAACCATCATCAATAAGCAGGGTTGGTTTTGGTGTGTGTAACGGATCAACATCAAGCCACACATGTGTAACCCATAAGTGCTCCGTTCTGCTTCTAACTCAAGGCTGAGTCTGAAGAATCTTAGCGCAGTGCACGAACTCTGTTGCACCGGCGAGGATCCTGAAATACTTTGGGTAGATTTGTAACTACAAATCTTGCCCGGGCTGCGCGGTTAGGCTACTCTTTTTTGATTTCCAACTGCCAATGTGTTTTTTACGTGCGCAACAATACACACGGGCGTCCGACATTACTACCCAGAGAATAGGGGGAATTTAATCCAGGTGAATAAACGTTCAGCCTTCACAGGGATTTAAACCTGGGCTCCAGCTCCCAAGGAAGATGCCATACCTCGAGACCCAGGTGCTTTACAGAACGTCGCTCCCGTCACGGCACGACTAAAGATCTCTCCTTCTCTGGCCAATGTTCCACCCTATGTGCTTCGATGGCCAATGCATCTTCAGTGTCTTTTATCCACATTTGTTGGAACTCGGCCTCGGCCTCGTTTTCAGGAAGCTGCACCTTCAGTCACAGCTCTCTTAAGGCCACCATGACATTTAAACTGGCCAAAATATCACATTTTTCAGGACAGGATGCTGTTTATGAGCCAGTTCTCCTCGATGATCAGATCATGTAGGCCAGTGCTTCTCAACCTTCTTAATGCGGCGACCCTTTAATATAACTCTTCATCTTGTGCCGACCCATTCATGAATACAGTTCTTCATGTTGTGACGACTACCCAACCATACAGTTATTTTCGTTGCTACTTTATAACTTCAATCAATATATGTTTTCCGATGGTCTTAGGTGACCCCTGTGAAGGGATCGTGCGACCCACAAAAGAGTCGCGACCCACAGGTTGAGAACCACTGATGTAGGGTGTTGGTGTTTTTATCCTTCTTGGTCTATGGCATTCTAATAATTTTTTCGTATCTTTTCAGTTCAAATGCTCCGGTATGTTTCTTCAAAGACTGGGCGAAAGTCAATGACTCACATTTATGAGCTGTCCCAGGAAACATACATAAAGTCAAAATTGTTACTTTGTCCCGCTTGCAGGTCTTGGCGTTCATTGACTGTAAATTACGGCGGAAAGTTCTGGTTGTTCGTCCACTTCTGGATATTGATCTTGTTTCAGAACCAGAGTTGTGCAAGCGCGACCGTTTTACACATCTGACTTGTTTTTATGCAAATTGTCGGTTCTTTGCCTGACAGGCAAATGAACTCCGACTTCAAAGAAAACACCCTAATTAGTCGTCTTTAACGACATGCTAAGCTAATCAAGTAATGGGGCAATTATCTCCCCTGTTGACACATAAGCTGATACCTCAGAGTACTAAAGTGAATCTTATCAGAACTATTTTTTCGCCAACACTATGCTATCAATGCCAAATGTGGACACTTACATCCTCCAATAAACGTAAAATTGTGACAACAGAGATGAAATGCCTTAGAAGAGCTGCAGGAGTTTCAAGGAAAGACAGAATACGAAATCATGAAATCAGACGAATGTTATGTATAAAGCCAGTCTTACAGGTCATCAAAGAACAACAAATGAAGTGGTTTAGACATCTAACAAGAATGCCCTGGAACTATCTGCCACAACGAGCCACACTAAAAAGTTACAACGGGTATAGAGCGAGTGGAAGACCTCGGAAAATATGGAGTGATGGCATTAAGAACAGCTTTACAGAAATAAAAATCAGTCTTAATAGTGCTCTTGACAGAGTTCATCAACGTTCATCACATCTCCCCCCGACACTTCGATGAGGTACAAGGTGGAAGAGAAGAAGAAAAAGAAGAAGAACGACATGCTTGTTGTGGGGGAGGGAGGGGGCAGTGGGTCTGTTCTTTTTCTCTGCAGAATAGAACCTCTGGAATCCACACAGGGATTATGAGAAGAGTTTGAAGAGAAAAAGAGAAGGTAGTGTATGGTAGTTAGTTAATGTAAGTAAAAAATGAAATCAAGTGATGGACGAAAAGCAGTCTGAAAGAGTTTGTGATAAATAGATTACATCAGATACATTTCAGTAAAACACACCAAGTGAAATAGTTGGGCCATTTAACTTGAATTTGAACAAACATATTTCACATCAAGCAATAATGTACACAGCAAGTCAGAATCACAAGTGAGGCCAGACATCAAAACAATCCATCGAAACCCCTATCAAGGATGCACACAAATGGGCAAATTACTGATTTAAGAATTGACATCGTAGCACAGCAGGCATACCTACAGGTGCTCCATCCCCCGCAGGAAATGTCTCTATTACTATCGTTCCGTAATTTTTAGGATACAATTTTTCGTTATTTGAAGCCCTACTCTGGCTCTTGTCAGGGGCCGCAATATAGCCTGGCCATAAATATGGCCTAAAAAGACCTCTCCACGGTGATCCTCACTCACATGGTGGCACTTTGTGTCATCGGGTGTTTATCGCTTGTGTGATGTCCTGGTGGGGTAGAAAGGCAGTCAGTCAGGAAATGTTTCAAAGTGTAGATGCTTACAGTTCCCGTAGCACACGGATTATACACACATCGTTCTCTCCCCCTCGAACGCTTATCCTTGATGGATCCACTGCTAATTCCAAGTTCACACATTATTACACATGACAAGTGATTTAGCTCGATGTCTTCAAAATCTGCTCTTTCATTCCCTCGAGAACCGCCGTGGGGTTGCCGCTGTCCTTTAGAATTCAGCCACAAAAGCTACCAACTCAAAAGCTACACACGAAAAGATCTGACGTGAATTCAAGATGTTGCCGAGGAAGAATATGGACTGATAACATTAAAGACCATCGAAATCGACGCGAAATGATTTCCCATTGCTAACCATATAGCAAACTGTTCCTTCCCCGCTTAACGACAAGAGGGAAAATTTATACTGATGATTACGATCTCTACATCCCAAAATTCACTCTTTAACATCTATTGCCTTCTGTCTCTTTTACCACAGATCTTCCTAGTGATCACAACATGTTCCAGTTTTTTTCTCTCTTCTCATAACATGGCCACAAAATGATGACTGTCCCTCTCTGATGTTTGTGATAAGTTGTTTTCCAGCTTGTCCCTCTTTAAAAACATCAAAGTTGCTCTTATGTGCTGTCCAGGAAACTCTAAGGATTATTCTATAAAACCACATTTCCGAGACCTCAAGATATTGCCTGGCTTGTCCAGGATTCGCAGTTATTAACATGATGAAAGCCACACATGTTTAGAAATCAAAGAAATAGTTGTCCTACCTCAAATTCCTCAAAGACTTGCTGTCTGAACTGTTCGTTCCACTGTCTGTCGCTAAAGTTTGCCTGTTCCACCGACATTGCACTGCTCAACCACTTTCTGTATTTGCGCTTGCTTAGGCTGGAACGGGAACAATTCAGGTTCACATACCGAAAGACTGGATACAAAATGTTACAGGTTCACCTTGAAAGTTACTATGCTTTAACATAAACATTACAGGTCGACACACCGAAGTTACTAGACAAACAGAAATATACTGGAGTTACCCACATTGAAAGTTATTTAGCTGGGAAATAAACATTACATGTTCATATTAATAGGGTCAACCTATAGGCTTGATCGGAAACATGACAGGTTCACACTGCAAGTTACTAGACTAGAACAGAAACATTACACGTTCACGCTGAAAGTTTCTAGGCCTAAACGTGTACATTACATGTTCACGCAAAAAGTTACTAGTTGGAACAGGAACATTACAGGTTCACGTTGAAAGTTACTAAACTAGAACATAAACATTATAGGTTCACGCTGAAAGTTACTAGCCGGAACATGGACATTACACATTCACGCTAAAGGTTACTAGGCCGAAACATGAACATTACAGGTTCACGCTGAAAGTTACTAGGCCGAAATATGAACATTACAGGTTCATGCTGAAAGTTATTAGGCCGAAACTTAAACATTACAAGTTCACTCTGAAAGTTACTAAGCAGAAACATGAACATTATAGGTTCACGCTGAAAGTTACTAGGCTGAGACAAACTTTACATCATCACATTAATAGGGTGAACATATAGACTAGAACATAAACATTACAGGTTCACACGGAAAGTTGGTAGACTAGAACATAAACAAACAAGGTTCATACAGAAAGTTACTAGACTGGAACATATACATTACAAGTTCGTGAAAGTATGGTCAACTTGTAGATTGGATCAGACCCATTGCATGTTCAGACACTGAAAGAAGTAGAAATATTTAGGGACACACTAGACAACATAAAAATTGAAAACCTTAGTTACTATGACGGGAATCGAACCTGCCACCTCCTGTTGACGACAGCGTTGCTCTGAGGTAGCAAGTAGTTGTCATGCGTCCTAATACACGTATTTCTGCAGCGAGATGCTGTCGTTGTTTGGAGGCGACAGGTTCACTTGCCTTCATGGTAACTATAGTTTTCGGTTTGTATGTTGTTCAATGTGTCCTGCTATCTTACTACTTCCCTCTATGAGTACCGATCAATAATGTCTGTTTATTTTATATAATATACCCATTGTGTACATGTTTACCTTTTCCGAACACTGTCACCCCTGTATCTGTCCATGACCTTTTCAAGGTCAAACGAAGCAAGCAGGTCACGTATCAGCTTCCTTCTATGAGCAGCCAACAGTTGATCTGCCTGCAAGGGTTCGCCATGCTCTGAACCACTATTTTCCGAAACGTCAGGCAAATGTGTGTCGTCGTTAAAGAAGATATCATCTTCATCTTTAAGTTCCTTGATATTGTTAGACGTGCTGGGTTTTCTAGTTTTTATCTTTTTATTATGACTACAAGAGGGTGGTTGCTGCAGGGATGGAGTTAGTGCTGGTGATATTTGAGTAAGACAAGAAGCTGAAAAGTCATGAGATTCCGAAAACAACTCAGCTTCCAT